ACACTGTCTCTACGGATGGTGAGTTATATTTTCCGTCGCTCCAACAATTATGATCGGAATTTAATCACCAGTTCCAATAGTCATTAGGGTTACAGAAAGAACAGCTCAAGAAACCCATCTGATTTTGGTGATCGTCTCGAAGAATGCAAGGGACCATGTCTTTCAATTCGGGGACGTAGTCTGGCATCAACTGAACGCAACACTTCAATCTCTCCCACTGATTCATAGAAAGAATAAATCCTTTCTCGTTCGTCAGCTTTTCACTTTCATGATCCAAGTCCACTTTCTAACATACACTCCGACATCGTCTAAGGTGAGATAGAGATTATCCCCCAAATGAATACTGTGTCCCATAGTCCCTTCTTTCCTAGCTTCGTCCACTCGTGCGAAACCATTGTTTCGAGTTCAGACTCAGACCCGATTTGGTAGGATAAGGCATAACCCCGAAATGATTATAACGGCGATGCCTCTGATTGGGTGAAATTATAATCGGAAACCAATCGAGTGGTGATCCCACTCGTCTGTACACTTTTCGATACAGTCTACTGGAACGACACAGCCAAACATACCTGTCTCTTGAATTCATTCCCGAGAGACACAACTTCACCTTAACATGGACTCTGACTTGAAGGTGTGAGACATGGCGAAGGCTTTGAAGCAGGTATAACAACCAGATATGCTTCATAAGGTCTTACCCCTGTCAATGTTTGACGAACCTCCTCTATTTCTCCCACGTTTGGAGGACCTGTGTACGTCTGGGGATAGCATCGAACTCGTAGGTACGACATACGTTTTAGCATGGACAGTTGACAATCTACAATTGTGTAATAGCAAGACCACAGATGATCTGGTATTTAAACTTCTGTTTCGCATTCGAATGCTAATGATTCGGCTTCAAGACTAGACTTGTGTGTCATTCAAGATCGGGATCTAGTACATTTGTATTTGTGATCTGAGAAGCCGACCCACATAAACACACCTCATGCATTGAAGGGTACAGAGTAGACCTGCTTCGCTAACCATGATTGGGTCTTTATTTAGTCAATGAGAACAATTGTGAATTTTCTAACAAGGCGGAATGAAATACTCCATGCAAGTTTAGACTGAACTTCTTAAAACTCAAGAAGATGCATGTACTAGAGACCATTCGATGCAGTTGCTGGCGCAGCATGTGCAAATCATGTTCAGAAGTAATGGAAAATATTGGGGCTTCCTCGGATTACCATTTACCGACTTATTGCCAGATTTCAACCTGCCGGCAGTTATCAGCGCAAACCAGGATCGGGACGTCCTTGTAAACTTGGGGGAAATGACAGGAGACGACTCGCACAACTGGCGGCGGTGAATCCAAACTGGTTGGTAAAGCGTGCCACAGCTTTAGTGGAGTACTAGAGTATCTGAATGGATTGTAAGGCGCAGTTTAAAAGAATCAGGAATCGTGGAGAAAGTGCCGACAAAGGTTCCGTTGATGACAGAAGAGCACAAGTGGAAAAGACGGAAGTGGTGTGAGTGTAATAGGGACACTGACTTTTCAAACTGGTGAGGTGAGGTGAAATTGGGATTAACGTCGTGCTTGAGAATATTTCGCTCATATGACGACGTGCATGCGTGTGTATGTGTATGTGCGGCTGCTTGTACTAGCCCAGACTTAAGCTGGTTTTATAGTGCTAGCTCACTGAGATACCATGCCGCAGTGAAGCATGAATACCCCACTCAGACACAGTATACTGACTCCGAGCCGACCAGTCCTTGTTGTACCCATTAATGCCGAGCGCCAGGCAGGGACCAACAAGTACCATATTTTAACGTCTTTTGGTATGACGCGGTCAGGGATCGAACCCGCGACCTTCCGCTCTCCGGGCGGACGCTCTAACCACTACACCACGGAGGCGGTCTCAAACTGGTCATTTACAGACGAATCGAAGTTCAATTTTTTCCGAATTACAAGGAAAAGGTGGTATCGAAATGGAAAATGCGAAAAAATGTGCCCAAAGTTCTGGACTTCTGTGATGGTGTGGGGTGGGATTGGGAAATTTGGTTTAATGCCGCTTCTGGAAATTACAGGCCGCATTGATTCAAGGAAGTACTCTGAGCTTTTGCAAGAGGGACTGCTAGATTCAAATATCGCACAGAGTGGAATTCCCTATGTAATGCAACAAGATAATGCCTGCATACACACGTCCGCCTACAATGAAGCTTAGCTTCGTCGGAACTACATTTAGGTAGTGTAGTTTCCGGCCGCTTCACCAGACCTGAACCCCATCGAAAATGTCTGGCAAATCATCAAGGACAAAGTGGAAAAGTTGGAACCGAAAGACATTGCAGAATGGAAACGAGTGATTCATGAAACGTGGTATGAGACATCTGGGGAACTGATTGACAATCTTGTAAATTCCATGCCTCGGCGGATTGAACAGTGTTTGGAGCAAAGTGGTGGACTGACTGAGTATTGACTTATTGTGAACGATTTAACAATGTATTGTGTACATGTGTGCCAATTTTCATAAATTTATGTCAATTATTAAATCAAGACGTTGAATCTAAACTTGTCTCATTTTTTTCCTCAATCAGATAGAATATTCACTCGACCACCATTGTCCACCATCCTGGGGCCTGACGACGCTAAACATCTGACGATATAGCTGCCTTGCAAGACGTCATAGGTTGCACAGCCGCCTGTTTATCCCGCTCTCAACAACCTCATCAGGGGAAGTTCTCCATACCATGCTAGCTTTCTGGATGTGGTCTACTACCCTGCAGGCCTACATTTTCGTCTGTCTTCCCCCTCCACTGCTGAGTCGAACCTTCATGAGACTCGGGTCTTGGCATCAACGATGACTCTTCACAGCAACCGTTTGCTGATACCTGTTATGAAGGGATTTTTTGGAGAGAGACTGTCTTTACCTCCCACTACCTGCACGACCACTCAGTGACTGACATAGAATGACTCCATTAGTTTGGCCACCTGGTACTGGCGCAGCAATTGTCCTCGGCCTGACAACACAGAGAGTGACACCCCTCCATCTGTATTTCCTTGTTTAAAGTGAATCAGGGTGTATGGAACTTCATTTTATCTTCATTTTATTTCCTTGGGCATAGAATGTTCTCACCTAGTTGTACACTAGGGAGTTGTAGTACAGTCATCATCGAACAACTTCATCATAGACTGAGAGGTCAGCCTTGTATTACGGTGCAGAGGTGATCGACACTCTAACTCTCACGAGAAATCATGTCAGTGAAGTGTGGATACCCAATTCCAGTGGATTCCGATGCATTTGGGATATGGTTTTCGAAGCAGGGATTGTCCAGATTAGAGTTGCAAGACTTTAAGTCTGCGGCAGTTTCTGGTGAAAGTGGACAAGACGTGGAAACATGTTGTAGCTCCGTCCTTTTGTCTTGAACAAAAGTTGTGCCGGAAAACAACATTTACTCGGGAGTGCCCACTCCCTGGGAGTTTTTGTGCTGAGTATGCCAAAGGGTTTTGGAAGTAGCAACCCATCACAAGTAAAGGAGTTATGTAGTCAATCAGATGATTGTGCTTGTATCAGTCCTCCTTGTGCACCTTCACCACATCACATGGCTGTCCTCTACACACAGGCACTGGGTAATCTGTGGCCCACCGTCAGACCGCGACACAGATTATGTTACATATTACGAGTAATGCTTCAAGAAGAGAATGATCAGATAAAGGAGTCACATGATCAACCAGAGGGCATTCTGCATGCTTCATAGAGGCTTCAGGATGACCAGGAAAGGGAGCAGTGGGCTGTGTTCAGGCGTATGGTACAATAGAGGCTCAAAACTTCGTTTGCAGTTCATTTCCAATCAGGTGTCTATCATGAAAGAAAGAGTACTAACCGTGAGATAGGATAAGCATTTATAAATATATAATTTATAGTTAAATTTTTCCAATCTCACCAAATTGGTAATTTCATGTATCTGTATGTAACAATGTGATTAGCATCAAAGAATAACTGCACTCTCCCAGGATATGATGAGTGCTTTTCTTTGCTTTCATCAATGGAATCCATTTAGCTTGCCATACATCCGTGTTGGAAACAACTTCCCTGCACTCCCAATAGGTGTTATAATACTCAGCACAAATTCGTAAAATTCTGCTCACGAACAACACCTTTGTCAAAATTAATGCCAAGAACCCACAACGCTTTCATTTTTATCTTCATCACCACTGTTATTTTCTTGTACTACTGTTCAAAACTTTATACACTGAACTGCCCTACATGAGGGTATGACATCAACTTGGCAGCAATTTGATATCCTTCCATTTACACTCCACTAGTTGGCTTATATTTAGACATCCAGATTGTCCACAATCATCTTTCCATTTAAGTCAGTTTGGTAGCAGACTTGATAGCATTCCAGGTAGATGTTGTGTCAATGTGCTGAATCAGCTCCGGAGATTATGCATTTCAGTTAACGATTCACAAAAAGATCGAACATATTTTTACGCAATCTTACCACACAGAAAATATAAACCTTGGGTCCCCTGCTTGCTTGATTCCTTCCTTCCTTACTTGGTTCCTTCATTGCTTGCTTGATTCCTTGCTTGCTTGATTCCTTCCTTCCTTACTTGGTTCCTTCATTGCTTGCTTGATTCCTTGCTTGCCTTGTTCCTTCCTTCTGTGCTTGATTCCTTGCTTGCTTGGTTCCTTGCTTGCTTGATTCCTTCCTTCTGTGCTTGATTCCTTGCTTGCTTGGTTCCTTCCTTCTGTGCTTGATTCCTTGCTTGCTTGGTTCCTTCCTTCTGTGCTTGATTCCTTGCTTGCTTGGTTCCTTCCTTCTGTGCTTGATTCCTTGCTTGCTTGGTTCCTTCCTTCTGTGCTTGATTCCTTGCTTGCTTGGTTCCTTCCTTCTGTGCTTGATTCCTTGCTTGCTTGTTTGCTTGCTTGGTTCCTATGGCTATATGATACTGTTTATTTGTCTGGACATCACTGATGAATGTGTTTAATTAATTTTAACATATCATTTTATCCATACAGTGAGGAGCAGGAGCCTTGTCGATCACCAACCAATCACTCACCAAAATGGGTGACATTTGACACATGCTCAAACTTTACCAACAAGGAAAATAACTTAGATTCCTATAGATCTGCAGTATCAGGCGACAGTGAGAGTGGAACTGAATGTAGTTATCACTCTTAAGATGATGTCAAATGTGGAGAACATGAGAATATGAGCTTGACCCCAAGTCATTCTGATCCACAGGCAAAGGTAGTGTAGCAGTGACATTAATGATAACACCTTCACTGGGGATGCTGGGAAGGCAGGTTGTCCAAATGAAAACTGACAGATATCCACTCCCAGATGTTCAAGATCAGAGAGACATGGAATTCAGAAAGGAGTTCCTGGATTCCATGCAGCATTACAGTTTTCATGCAGCCAAAGTGGTTTCCAGATTCATAATTTGGATCAGATCTACAAAGAAAATACGTAAAGGTGTAGTTAGTATCTTTGGAAAGCCTCAGTACTCCAGCTTTCCAACGTCAATGTCAGATTTGAAAGGATCAAGTGTAACTGTCTTTCAGGGACCTTTCCATGTCACCATACTATTTATTGGAAGTGCACTTCTGCTACATATAAATGGATAAATCTTCAAACCTTCATTGTGAATAAATATTTCATTTATGCTGTGAAATGATTGTGTGCTCCAAGCACCGTTCCTGCCATCACTGTATAAAGACAAAGTGACAGGTCCATATGCATAATTCTTTTCTGCTGAAAAAAAGACAACAAAAGAAAAACAAAGACAAGAAACCCAAAAAATTGAGGTTAGCATTGTGGGAATGTCCTCAGTTTACCATGCCATTTCAATTCTAGCCCAGAAAGCCATTTTATCATGTCTTTCTCTAATTCATTATGCCATTTTCTAACTAATCATTGCTTTTTATGGATGTTTATTGATATTCATATTATCTTGCATTCAGTGTTATGAAGACTTGTGGTGAAACAGCTTCAAAATGTCTTAAAAGCAGGATAGCTGATCCAATTATAACCTCACACAACCAAAGAAAGAGAGTTCCAACTGAAATTGTTCATAAATTGTCATGGTAGAATGGAGATAAACCTAGAGCGTTTGTTTTTGAAAGATATTCAGTGCTATTATAATTCCGAGCTATACTACCTCTAATTTTAAAACGCAGTATATTTATCTCCATTCTACCATGACAATTTTTTGTTAACAATTCAGGTGGTACCCTTGTTTGGGGTTTCTCGTCAACACATGAAACGGCCTTGTATTCCAATCTCAAGTGGTATCACTCCAAATGGGATGATTGGTGGTAAAACTGTCAATAACTAACAAACACCAGGCTGAGTAATAACAAATAACTTTTGGGTTTTTTTTCACTGAATTAATCACTAATCATTAACTGAGATATTGGAAACATATATTGAATAATTGCAAAAAGCTTGGTTCACATTTTAAAATTTTGCCATAGATCCTTTACCTACTCGAATAATGGCAGAGACATCATGGCCTTGACCTGTTCTTGGAGTGATTGTTGTCTGTGACATTGCACATAGGAAATTTTGAAAGATTTTGAAGTCTTTGATATCTAATTATTGGTACCTTGCAGTAAGAGGCGCGCTTTTGTTGTGATGAGGAGACATTGTACGCTTGACATTTTTGCCTTCCTGGTTGAGAGGTTGTGTACTTAACAGACTTACATCTGTGTCATTTGAGAAGAGATGTCAAAAACAATGCATAGTGGCTAAAACGTAAACAGTACCATGAGGGATGCCAAATTGTCCATTGAACCCAGTATGAAGCAGATGGGCAGCAAGACAATCTATTCAAAGGTGGTCAATACTACTTCCGCTTGACCACATACGTGGTTGTATATATCAACATAACACACGTGAAGTCAGATGAATGCTAAGGTATTTATTACAACTTTGATTCGATTTTAATGATTTATTTTCCTCCATATTATTAGAGAACCCCCTATCAGCTTTTATTACCCATAATGCTTTCGCTGCAACATTTCACACTCGTTTCGTATTTATAAGTCGTATGATACACTTGCTCGTGTAAAAATCTCTATAGCTATACTGAAAGCCAATAAAAATGCAATTTGACATTCATACTTTTTTTTTACTCACACTAATTTCAACATATATAAACCTAACTGGCAGATATGTTTTAAGTGAACATCTGTGAATAATTTCATCTGAAAATGTCCAGTCAACAACAACATCAGTGACGCAACAACGACATCACACAAAGGAGGGGTCACTTGCAGTCAATATTGTGTGTGTCAACCGTGCGCTGCAAGACATGCTCGCAGTCTTTGGGGCATTGAAAGACACACATTTCTCAGGAACAGCTGTTGGATGGTCTGCAGCCTCTGATGATCTGTGGTCTGATCATGACACCACCCCCTCCAAAACGATCATGTTCAAGGACACAGTTTGGCGTAAGTCTTTCTCCTTTACATCGATAAATCTGTTGACGTCCATCTGCAAAGGATAAGTTAAACCTGGATTCATCTGAAAAAATGACATCTGGCCATGTCCTGTTGCCAAGATTGGCCCCATTTGCTGCCCATCGCTGTATAGCAAGTCTGTGGCGATGCAGTAAGGTTGGACCACGGTATGGGTGACGACACCGGATGTTGAAGGCAGCAAGGCGTCCTTGCACCTTTTGGGCACTGAAATGACGTTGACTTGTCCCAATTGTCCTCCTTGCCTAATCATCAGCTGTTTGGAACCAATTTCGCAAGTGAGAAACTCGGATATTGCGGTTTTGTCGAGCTGTTATCACAGGTGGTGCACCAGGTCACAGACGATCAGCAACACTTCCGGTAGCCCGAAAACGTTGTCTGAGTCGATTTACAGTGGATGGATGCACATTAAAGTGCCTGGCAATCATCACATCTGAAGCACCTTGGCTGACCATACCGCTAACCTGATTCCTTTCGTCTTGTGTCAAGTGTGGCATTTTCTCAAAGTGATTGAGTTCCACAATTCCTTGTGCTTTTACAGGGCCTGGGTGCAGGTAATGCATGTGCACAATGTGTTTCATGAATGTGGTTGTGTTTACAAGAAATGTCAAAAGTTCAATTTTAAGTATCAAAGTTCATGTGAGAGGAATGCTCCGGGACTCGAACTCGAAATGGTCAAGAATAACAGCCTTTTATTCCTACATCCTCTGTATCGCAGGAAAAAATCTTCAATAGAACTTTTGTAAGTTTCAGGACAACAAATACCAATTGCGTTTTTAATGGCTTTCAGTATATTATACTCAATTAAATTGTACGGTCCCAGTCATAAACAATAGTTAACTTATCAGAAAGCCTTGTAAAAATACATCTCTGTATACAAGATTAACATCAATATGATGGTAAAACATTTGCCTACCTTGTAAAAGGTAAGTTTCTTTGCGTTGAGAATAGCTTGCACAACATCAGACATCCAGTAAGTTTGAAGCATTGCCTAAAGAAGAATTGCGGTTGAAATCATACATTGGACACGCTTACTCAGGCGGTTAGGTCTACTAATGCCTACAGGGAAAAATAGCTACGGGAAATAATAGCTACAATATGTGTTGTGACAGCGATACGCTTACCTGCACACAAGTGGACTGTTCCAATTAGTGTGCACTAATGCAAACAATGAGATTAGGAGAGTAAAGGGTAATTGTCCAGTTACGTTTTGAAACTTCACATGCATTTAATGTTAGAAGAACCTTCTCACACGAGAGGGAGACTAAAGAGTAGAATGAGTGAGATTATTCAAAGTGAGAAGGAAATGTATTGCTTTAAAATGCTTGTAACCAAACTTTTGGTTTAACGGGAGACGGAAGATGATGCCACCACTTCCACACGCTCAGCAGAATCAACCTACCAGACCGCTTCAAAGGGACTTCTGGTGGACTGCATTTCCTTTGCATAGACGACAGTGATGATGACAGGATTCTCTGCTTCGCCACAAGTGACCGCCTCACCCTCCTGCAAAAAGTGGACACCATCTACATGGACGGCACGTTCTACTGATGTCCTCCTCTCTGGGATTAGCTGTATGTCATCCATGGATTAGTCAGAAGAAAGATGACCCAGCTGGTCTTCTGTCTACTGCCAAATTGTCAACGCTGCACCTATGAACGTCTACTACTTCTGAACAACAAGGTGCAGCAGACAACAGGATCGCCCCTTCAGCCTGACGTCATCCAGACGGATTTTGAAATCACCACCATCAACGCTGTTGCGACTGTCTTCCCTAACACTGACGTCCATGGATGCTACTTCCACTATACACAGGCTCTCTGAAGGAAGGTTCAGAACCTCGGCTTCAGTGAAGCCTCTCAGCAGGATCAGGAGATTCATAGATGGATAAGAAGAGCAGCAGCACTTCCCCTCCTCCCAATAGCCATGGTCCAAGACGCTTGAATTGAGATCATGACTACGTGACCAGCACCTGGGTTGACGATCATGCCAAGTTTCGTGATGGATTGTGGAATCACCATGAGACCCAAAACCCGAGGACGAATAATCATCTTGAGGGATGGCATTCACACGTCAACAAAATCGTCCAACGAGCACACCCGAACATTTTCTCTTTTGCAAAAGTGCTACAGAGAATGGAGAAGGCTGAGAGGAACAAGCTGGTCCAGATTGCTCATGGTGCCTGTCCCCCCTCCCCGCAAGAGGCAGTACACAGAACTCGACCAGAGGCTCACACGACTCAAGGATTCTGGCTTCTGGGGTAAAGACATATGTGAAGACTGGAATTTCTGTCAGCTGCTGGACACTTAATTAAATTAGCGTAAATGTATGTAAAATTGTGTAAAACATTAATGGTATGACAGTGTGAAAAATGTGTAAAACATAGAGATAAACATGATTTTCACAATGGTGTGAAATATGTGTACGAAAAAAGAATGAACACTAATGAATAACGAATAAATGGTTCATCAACATAGAAAATCTTTGTTCTGTATTTACTGTAGGCAAAATTGCACACTCAAATGGGACATACGACTTTAATGAAAAGTTGAAAGCTGTTAAATTGAAAAACATTTGTGAAAAAAGTTGTTTATATAAGACTGTAAGCATTATTCCCTGTAGGCATTAGTAGAATCCGCCGGGTCAGGCGACACATACTCCCTCGAGTTGTTGTGTAACCGTTAACACTTCCAAGAAAATATGTAGGTCATGAAATCCATGTGCACACAAACCCATTTCATATATGCTTATGTCCTTCTGGTATCAGACAGCATTTTTTTTCCCTCGCCCTTTCCGTAAAATGCCAGATAAATCAACAATGCTTTTATCCGTGAACGATAAAAGGCGGAGAAATTTAGTTCTTTTTACCGTAGAACACAATTTCGGACAACATTTAGCAGTGTCTATTTTTCAAACCTCCTAAGTGTTTGCACTTGAGTTAACACCATCAGATAGTAAATTAGTACTATCGGATAGTATTATTCTATATTTCTGTGTAATTTTATGGTTGTAAGTTAGATCAAGTGCCGAGCGAACAAAGTTATTGCTAAAAGTTCACTTTTGAGATCTTTCTTTTCAGTTCACTTCAGAAAAATACAACTCGGCATCCAAGGGATTAATATGAACAAGACACAATATTCTTCTATTTTCCTTCCGCGTCATGGTAACTGTGGTCTGAAGCCACCTGCACGGA